GCCGTTCTTTCCACTTTTACTAGAGAAAGGACTCATATACCCCCTCTAAATGAGACGCTTTAGCCTTTTGTAGCTTCAGTCATAGGATTGGCACTCTTCCGCTGACAGGCTTCCATTAAACAATTTTGTCAGCTAGGTTGGATTCCACCAGAACTCCGTCACGGGCATTAGCGCGGGTCATGATGTCGACACCTGAGTGGTAAAGTTTTGCCACCTGCAGACGCTAAGAACTCCAGAGTGCTGAAGCATCTTTGACGAGAGCCCAACCACATCGATTTGGATAATTTTCTTCTCTATCAAATGGGTCGTGCTGTGTCGCTCTAAGTCACGAGATACACCGATTTACGTTGGTGAGTCCCCACTGTCGGTATCATTTCAACATAACCTTATCATACGTGTTACAGTGGCAATAACAAACTGTGCTATAGTCATTGTAATCCGGTTCCAAAACTTTTATTGTCCCGTGAATGCATTCTGCACCACGCTCAAGCAGCTGCTTTTAGTATGCCCTAAAGTTGTATTCTTTTTCGATGCGATCCTATCAGTAAATTGTTCACTTCTTATATTCATCTGGTATTTATTAAAATGAAAGCAAAGCCATGCAAATGAATACGGTTGAATGACCATCTTGATCCTGTGCAGTTCAGGGCGTTAGCTGCAGTCTCGACCTAATCTGAAGCAGCTTGATTGCTTTTGTGAACACAGTGAAACCCAACTGGCCCAGCGCTTTTTTTATTTCGTTTCAGTGATAACCCAGACATGTGTCGTATCAAGATGTGCACGTATTACTGTTTAATACTTGATCAATAAATGAGAACTGTAGCAAAGATTATTTATGAAAATTAACCTAAAACTCTCTTATGAAGTTTCAGTTTTTTTCGTCGACATCAATACAAAAGGTGAAGTGAGGAGCAAACGAACAGATGCAAAACATGCACACATGTACAATTATAAACCAAGCCGCTCTCTGGCATCAAGAAATGCTGAATTTAGTTTTTCGCTGAACGTCGTCGATCGAATAGTCGTTGAGGTAGTCGAAGCGCTTCAGGGCGTCCTCGATCTCGTCGCCGTAGTATGAAACTGTCTTCCTCACCGGTTTCGACGTGAAACCAGCTGCAGCTGCTGAGGCATCCTGGATCTGCTTCAAGCTCGGTTTGAACTTAACCATGTTGCGATTCCTTTCGTTCTTCGGACACACAAATGCCACCTTCTGTCTACCGGTCGACGACAGAGCCTCATTGCTGCTGCGGAGAGGGATCTGAATAACCGTTCTTCGATAGTCGTCGGAAAAACCGGGCATGCTGCTGGTCGAAGGCATTTCGTCATTCGCCAACGGCGACTGATCGTAACTTGATCCCGACGCCGATTGCGTGCCAATAATCTGAGCTATCGGTTTGCTTGAACGGTAGAATACCTGAAAATCAATTACTGTATTTCTGTTAAGAAAGTATTGCGATCGATCTTCTTTAAAAGCAAAGGTTCAAAATGCAGCAGCCATCGTTGCACATGTG